TATCCATTCTAGGAAAATAAATATTAGGTAGGATGCCTGAAATCATGATACCTGATATTCCTTGTATTATTTTATAGTTACTAGCATCGCTAATTCATAAAATTCCTCAAATATTTCCCTGTACGCATTATTTGTTGTATGAGGGCTCAATTTCGTCTCCAAATCTTTGACCATCTTTACAGTAGCTGCTGAATTATTTTTAGTGCGATCAGAAGCAATGTTTAATATTTTCTTTCGGTTCATATCCAGACCAACATTGTAAACAACTTCAGTCGGCTTAATATCAAATGCCGCATGGTAGTCATATGTTTTTTTGGGATCAATCGATGATACTTTTCCGAAAACACCATAAGCAATCATCCAGTTATTTGTCCAATTTTTTTGGATAATTATTGAGATCAATGCCTGATTGGGGTATATTAACATAAAGATCCAGACTGTAAAATGTACCTGATACAGTTTTTTGAAAGTTTACAATTATTTTGATATAATACATATATGCAGTGTTCCCACTATTATTTGTGTACCGGTGAGAAAACGTTTGCACCGTAAAACCAGCAACTGATACCCCCTTTGACGTGGTTTTATCAATTGTAGCAACTGATTTATGCCATACTTGGTAATCTGAATTGAGGATTTCAATACACAGAGTATAATCTTTATCTTTATCAAGTTGATAACAACTGATTCCCATTTTATAAGAGTATCCTCCTTGCTGATCTTTGATAATGGTTGTATAGAGAACTTTGTGATTGTATTGATGGTAGTTACCATCTTGGGGCATTAAATTATCAATTTTAGTAATGTCAAAACTATCCACTTGAAGATCAGTCCATGCTAATCTATTTGTCATCAGGTACTTGAATTAATTATTGTAATGGTTGGGTTTAACATGAGATGTTTCTAAATACTGCTTATTAATAGCATCAGTAGCATCAGTTGGGTCAGCTAGATTGTAAATCCTGTTATTGACCATATTAAACTGGTGGTAAACATATGGATTAGTAATTTGAACACAAAATGCATTTCCAGTGTTTCGGCTTATTGCTTGATATTGTGAAGTGAGGATAGCATTGTTCAATATTATATGACCAGTAAAAGTGCCACCGGATAGTTTCAAATAATTATCATCTATGTATTTTTTGTTAACCCCATCTTTATCGTCAGTTGGTTTGGCAAGATGAGTAATTTTATTATTGGACATGTTTAGTGATCCTGCCATAACTCCACTGGATTTATCGAGGAATATATTTTCTGACCATATTTTTGTGGCTGGTTGATTATCACCATTTGGTTGTGCTACATTATAAATCCTATTGCTATTCATATCCAAATTGCCAGTCATTAAACCACCAGAAAGTGATATTTTAGTATCAAGTTGATTTTTAGTTACGGCATCATTGGAAGCAGTTCCTTTAGCCATAATATTTGTCAGTTTTTTGCTTGTCATATTATAATTCCCATCTGATGTGAGACTAAAACCAGTGCCTGATGTACCGCGAGGGCCAGTGGGACCAATAGGACCAGCTGCACCAGTAAAGCCCCGAGGCCCACGAACACCAATCAGGCCGGGAAGACCATGAATACCAGGAGGGCCAGTGGGACCAATAGGGCCACGAGGTTCACGAATACCCTGAGCACCAGCGGGGCCAGGCGGGCCAGGAGGTCCTTGAGGGCCAGTAATTCCTCGTTTTCCTTTTGAATATGATTGATTATAATTAGGTTGCTGATTAATTTTATAATAGTATATTAGATATTTCCATCCACTACTATTTTATTATTCAGTTATGTCTTCTTCATTAGTAATTGGATCATCCATCCCAATAACTCTGCCAATAATCCGAGCTTGTTCTAAAGATTCATGTTTGTGATTAAGAAGTTCATATAGACAACCCTCTGATAGATTTTCAAATAATTAAGCAATCATTCTACCATATTTGACATCTTCAATTGATAGATATACTTCCATGTAATTAGATTATATTAATTTGTAAAGGTATTCTCTTTGCTCGTAGGTTATTTGATTTGGTTCGATAATTTGTCCAAGAATTGAGCCAAGAGCCCGTTTCATATCTAGCATATCTTTCAATATTACAGGATGGAGGTCATACAACAATTCAGTTGCCATTAGAGCATATTGGAGACTTTTGAATTTCAAATGTATTTTCAAATATTATTGGTTATATAATTATCCACCAGAGAAAGGATAATACATTATATATTTCCATAAAAGTTTCTTTTGACAGTCTTCATTGGTTTGTCAACATACAGGAATGAGTAGGGTTGTTTGGTGGCCTTAATATATTGATCCTTTGTTACATTTAACTCTCTAGAAATCATATTTCTCTCATTACTGCTCGGGAAATCATAAGCAACATCATGACTGCAGTTTAGTCTGATATCTTTTGGAGTTTTATAAAATGATTGCGAAAGGTAAATAACACTGCAGTTCTTATGACGGCCTTGAATGAAATAATCGATAAGCGGCTTTTGATTGTTATCACAAATGAAGTCGTCAAATATTACAATTTTCTGAGTATCACTTTCCAGACTATTGACAGGTTTAATATCATCATCATTGCAGTGCATTATGTCATATCCAACCTGGCTACTAATGTCACTCATTGTTTCTATCATGTGTCCTACTTTTCCTGTTCAAGGTTTTTGCCATATAAATGGATCTGATCATAATAGACTAATGGTTTCATAAGGATGTGATAGCGTAGATTGGTTTTACCTGAACCTGAATTTCCACATATTAGCATCCTAAAATTGGATTTGGGCATGTATTTGTAGAGCTGTTTGAAGTTTGTATTTTTATCTTCATTGAAATCATAATTTGGAATCTCCATTAGACTATTATGTTAGATAATTTAAGATAAGTTAAGATAAGTTGAGATAAGTTTTATATAACACAATAGTATAATGGATATTGAAAGATTCAAGAGACTTAATATCCCTAAAATATTGAAGCACAAAAAATGACTGAAGTTGTTGGGGATGTTATAAAAGAAGTTCGAACTAATAAGCAGAATGTTTACGAAAAGACATCTGAAGATCTGAAAGCTCTAACCGAAAAGTTTGATAAGGAGATACAGGAGATTAGTAAACTGAGAGACGATGTTAATAAACAAGTTGTTCCATATGCTGAGCAAGTTTAAAGATTAGCATTACCGGGCCAAGGTGGTGAGATGCCCCCTAAGATGATAGCTGATATGAATAAGGGATTCACTCCAGAAAAACTGGCATTCATACAAAACCAACAATCGCCATTACCGGCTGACATCTTTTTGCAAACCTTAAAAGAGCCAAATTATGCTAAACAAATATTAGATAAATCTGTTGAAATGAATAAGGAGCACAACAAAAACTGCCAGAAAGAAGAATAAGGACCAGATTGCCGAGTATGATGAAGGAATTGAGATTATTAGAAAGTACCGACAATGAATTGGCATTCTAGAGGAGGGTACAAAAACTCTAAAGGTTGGGAAAGGTATTTTCACACAGACGAGGAGAAACGCGTACAAGATTAACCCCAATACTGGTGTTTATAGAAATGTAACCATTGACAAGCCCAAACTTTATGGCCAGCTTAAACTAACTGCTCATAAGGATGGTAAAAAGGTCTATGATAAACAAGTGGATTTTGATACCCTTGATCTGCTCACAAAGCGGTTCAACAGTAAAAAGAAGTATTCACCATTATCAAAAATGATATTTGATGACCTGAACAGAACAAGTGATATTCCAATACATCGAACCAGTAATAAATACAAAAAAAATCGGCTCAGGTGTTGTTTATTTTAATAATCGAACTGACCTACTGGACAGATTGGAATTATTAGGTGGATCCATAGTGGCTGGAAATAATGGTGCCAAAAATGAATTTTCCAAAATTGCTCACATACTAAACAAATTAGGTGTTCTAAATAACAACCCGCTCAATAGTTTGATAAAACCGTATATAATGTAATCTAATAATATAAATGCAAGAAAGAGCAATCCATATATCATCTGTTGATAGACAGAAAAGCGGACAGGATAGAGCAGAAGATTTCATAATCAAATTCGATCCAGTGTTAAAACTCCAAAATGATATGACACATGAAATAGCACTGGATAAAGTCACAATGACTTACAGTTGGCACAATATTTCAGATCACTATCAAAATAACCAAATAAAATACTCACCTGATGGCGGTACATCATGGGAAACCGTCGAATTTGTGGATGGAATGCACACTTACTCAGATCTTAATGACTATCTCCACCAGTACATGAAAAAGAAAGGTCATCTTACCACCGACGATAAAACTGGTGACAAATATCGCATTAACCTAACATTTGTATTATCGACATATAAGATTCTCATTCAGATTGATAACAATTACCAACTGGATCTGAGAAACAGTAAATTTGGCGAGTTGATTGGGTTCACAGAAAAACTTGTCAATAAAACAGAATATGGGACAATTCTTCCAAATATCACAAATTCCATTGACATGATCTATATCAATACCGATGCTATTACGAACAGCATATTGAATGGTGTTAATACTAATGCTTTAGCTGTTATTCCAACTGACAATTTGACAAAAAGCTTTCCATTCAAATTTGAACCCAGAAGACTGTTGTTTAATGAAGTTTCGCAGCTTAATATTTCACAAATGAGGGTTTACATCACAGACTCACTGGGGCGACCAATTGGACTAAATAAGATTGACTGGTTTATGACATTGATATTGCGATCCAAACCAGCATAATATGTAATCTAATAATAAGCAATGAAACAATCAGAATTAAAGAAACGTTATGATGTTAAAATGGGAAGATATGTTAAGAAGCACATTTATGGTGAAGGTGTTGTTACCGATGTTTTCAAAACGATTGGAAGAAAGCTGTTTGGAAAGACCATGAAGGAAGCTGCTAAAACAGCGACCAAGAAGGCTGTTCAGAAAGCTGCTACCAAAACTGGCGAGTATGCTGGCGAAAAAGCGGGCGATAAAATTATTCAGTTATTAAGCAAAAAGAATAAAGATACCGGTAGCAGCATCACCAGTACCGACATCGCCAATAAAAAATCCAAAATCAATAGAACTGAGCGATTATGAGATTAATGAGAGGGTAAATCAATTACTGTCTGGAGGCCAGATGAGAAGATTTATCTAATCTGTTAATATAATGAAATCTTTTAGAGGTCCAAAGTATGTTGAACGATATGAAGATGTTATTTTTGACTTAGAAACAGCACTAAATACAACTGTGGCCAATAATGCTCACCAAAAGAAGGATGGCTATAGGTTTGTTGTTGATAATAGTGGTGAGGTAACTCCATTTGACTGGTACAATGCTCGAATCAGTCTCGACTTTAAAGTAGTCTTGCTGGCTAATGGAGGTAACATTGCAGTAGCAGATCACAATGGAATTGTAAATGGGTCGTACTCATTCCTGAAACATTTTGATATTAAGCTAAATGGTAAGAAAGTGTACGATTGTAACGACGCAAATTACGCGGTTAATACTAAGAACTTGCTGGATTACAGTCCGGCTTACGCCAATAAGACAGCTAGTAATGAGTTTTTCTTCCTTAATACATCAAGAAATGCAAAAGAGCGGGAATTTGAAGTTAGTGGTACAAATCAGTTAGCTAAAAGGCGAGCAGCTTACAATAAGGGTAGTACTTCATCTACAGTAAATACAGAAATACCATTGAATAGATACTCATTTTTTAGAGGATGAGCTGTTACCCAATACAAGGGTTGAGATGAATTTTGAGATTGAGTCAGATGGTAATCTAATTTGGCAAGCCGGAGCTGCTTGCAGGGTGGTTATCACTAGGATGCAATTGTATGTTCCGCGAATAACCTTTAACAGTGAAGGACAATCATCCTACATGAGTCAATACCTTAAAAATCATAAGTGGACTTATTTGAGAGAGAATATTGAAAGATCAAATAGCAGCCGACAGAGAGCTGGGCAGTTCAGAATATCAACTGGTATCTCAAAACCCAGACACGTGTTTGTATTCATAATCAATGACGCGAATATCGATGCCCAGACAGAGAATCCATTCTTGTATAACACATTCTCTGTCTCAACTGACCCAAGAACCTTATCCAATTGCCACCTGGAAGTTGGAAACGGTAACGAATACCCCGAAATACATTACACACCAACTACTGATATGACTAGAGTCTTCAGGGACGTGTTGAAGTATGTCCACAAAAATAATGAATACGGTGAAGGGTCATTACTCAATATATCTAATTTTAGTACGCCATTCCCCTTCCTATATTTCGTCTTAACAAAACAGAAAATGGACATTAAGGACGGCACCACAAAACTGACATTCAAATATGAACTATCAGGAACAGTGGCAACAGCCTACTCTATTTACGCATTAACATTATATGAACAAGATTATCGAATATTGATTTGTTACAATGGGTTACACAATTAGGAATAAAATATTTCAGGGGTATCTACAGCCGTGATAATTTACCAAATAAAATACACAAATTGGAAAGAGGAATAATTAATCTCGATGATTCAATGGGCGGGGGCAGTCAATGGATTTGTTATAGAAACGTGGATAAACAATTTTGTGAGTATTTTGATTCGTTTGGATTGATCATGCCCAATGAGATTAAACATTATCTGAAAACAAGCGGTAAAAAAATGGTGTACTCATCTGATGAAATACAAGAAAGAGACAGTGTTTTGTGCGGTTATTGGTGCTTATACTACCTCCTAGAGAGACAAAAGGGTAGATCATTATTAGACGTTATACACAACCCCAAATTCAGTTCCACAAATCAACTGATAAATTACCAATTTCTGATAAACTATTTTATGTAATCCTATTATATATGACTGAAAAGTTCTGTGTTTATTGCCAAGAAATTACTCCACATTATGTAGATCAATATGGATGTTTCGAGTGCTGCAACTGTAAACCCCTGAGTAAAAGTAATTATGAGTCAGATAGCAGCCATGATACTTTTGTTCCAGATAGTAGTGATAGTGATTAGAGAATAATTATATAACATAAATATATAATAATGGTGAAATCTTATTGTGTTACACAGAAGAAACAAACAGAATGTGTAGAACCTTCAGGTTATAAAACTGCCAAAAATGGTAGACTTATGTTTTGGTGCATACACATTAGCTGGTACTGCTCTTGATGCATTTGTACATCACGGGCTTCCATTGATGGGTAAAAAAGCAGTTGAGATAGGAAGATATTACGGGTCAGGAGCATTACGCAATAAAAAGTTACAAAAAAAGCTATCGACTACGCTCTGGACAAATTGAATCCTGGATTCATATAAAAAGGGATGTATGAGAGGACAGCCTGATCTATTGGTACTTGATTATCACAAAGATTATAAAGGCCTGGGCATAGAATTCAAGAGTCCTACAGGTAACTACTATGTATCAGAAGCCCAAAAGGAGATGAAGAAGAAGTACGTTAATAATGGCTATGCATTTATACTCAGTAATGATTATGATAAGATCAGCAAAAATACTCATGAATACATGAAAGGTATCAGAGTGCCGTGTAAATATTGTATCAAACATTTCTATGATAAGGATACACTAGAAACTCATTACAGGGTTATCCACAGATTATC